ATGAGGGAGGGAGGAGGGAATGAGAAGAGACGAAAAGGGAAAGAGAGAAAAGGAGAGAGATAGAGAGAGAGACTCAGACTTTTACCTAAGAACATGGCTCATGCTGAAATTTCGAGCCTCACACAGAAAACGATTACCCGGGTTTGGGGGTCGCGTTGGCAGCCTTGCCCTTTCCCCAGAGCTCGAACGAGTAGTTGTCAAAACCTGAAATAAAAAAAGTGTCTAATTAGTGAGGAACTGTGTGAGGAACACATAAATGCTCATAACTGTTACTATGAGGTTGTTAACATTTGATCAGTGGATCTGCTGAGTTTAAAATCCGTTACTTATTAAGGACGACTCGGACCTCGGACTTATTGACGTAATGCAGACAGTCAAGGTCAATTCTAGGATGACTCTGACTTCTGCTGACTCGCTGGATGAATAGGGATTTTTTGAGATAGTATTACGGACAAATTCTGTACAGTGCCTGGATATCTTACCGACACCATCCAAGGCCTGCTCCTTGACTTCACGGCCACGTCTCTTCCTCACCAGGAAGACAGCAGCAACCATCAGGAAGACGCCGGCTATCCCCGCAGCTGTCCCGACAGCGATGGCGACAGTGGGCACGGTGGAGGCTGTGGAACGACACAGAGACGTCATGTTCATACTGTCTACTGCCCTGACTGTACACTAGTGGACAGCATCGCTAAAATTAATCATGGGAAAGATATATTTTATAAATAAGTGGCACATAAGAGTTAGACCCGATATGTTGACGTCCATGAGAGTTATCTGCCCCCTTCATGATACACAATGAGTCCAAGGATAGACCAAGATGGAAAGAAAGCCATCGATGGTCTTTAGTTTAGCAATGGATGAAGGATGAGGATAATTCAGTATAATACACAAACTTTACCTTGTTTTTTTCCTCTCACAACTTTGAAGGGTCCCTGGCTGAGATGGGCTATCTGGTCCGTTTCACTCGCACGTCGCACTCGGGTCTCGTTCATGTCAAACACAGCGCGCCTGCGTCGCCCATCGAGACATCCCTCACTGCACCGCGAGTCCGGGTCGTCCTTGAAGCAGACCACCATGGTGCAATGGATGTACACCTGGCATGGAGGAAAAACAACATCATGAATCTGGTGCAACGCTATGCTGTTCAAGGGACCCAAACACCAGGAAGTGTCCAATAGTCCGGTACAAAAGACCTTCAGTTCCAGAGAGCACCAAAGTAGCAACAATGTAGAGACAAATACAGGCTGAAGCTCACACAAGAAGAGGCCAAACGCTGGACCTATGCGTATCCGTAACCCTTTCAAATGCAATTTCCAGGCTAGTCTGCTAGCTTGCGACGCCAGAAGAGAGGATGAAGTCTTATACCATGGAAATCAACTTTAAGCTGACAGTTAACCAAGCCCAGCACCAGGCCAAAGTTAGCACGTTTGACTTTGTTACCAGGCTGGGATCATCAACGTTGGGGAAGGTGAATGATTGGATGGAGTAGTACGAGGCCTTGTCGCCAGACAGTGCAGTGTTCCGCTGAAGCGTTGTGTCGATGACACACCTTTAGGAGAGAAATGACCATGAATGCCAGATGATGATTTACTGAGTTATCTTAAACTAAAAACTTTGGCTGCCCCAGACTTCTAACACGTCGGTACTTTTGACATAAGTCACGTGAAGAGTGACGTACCCGTCTTGAATGATGTTGACGCTTGGCGAGTCGTCAGGATCGTCACTTGGCGTGGCGAGGCAGTGGAGGGCGAACAGCTCCAGGTTGTCCAGAGGAGAGTCCACGCTCAGTCCGAAGTGTAGCTGGTCAGACGAGCTCACCTAACCGCGGAGAAATAAGGAACAAGAATAACAAACGCGGCTTGCTTTGGGAGTATCCTGTGGTTAGTTTGTTACAACATACATGCATGCAAATATGACAAATATGACAAATAAATAACAAAAGGCTAATATTTAAAAAAATCTCAGTTCAGCTCATTTCTGAACACAGCGGCAGTTTGAAGCGTGGTTTGTAAATGTTCAAGACGTGTTGTTTGACAGACATTAGACTCAACAAGAAAGTATCTCACCTGCACAGGGTAGTCGGCTGACTTGTAGGTCTCAGTGAAGTCTGCAGATGGAAACATGTGCATCTCGAAGGCGAACTCGGTTTCTCCGTTCACAACTTTAAAGCTGTACAGATAGAAAACCATGTGGGTGAGAAGACAGATAGCTGATGAGACATTACCCATTCTATGCTAATGACATATTCCGAGTGAAAGTAAACACGAATCCAGAAGCTGGGTTCCGATCCACAAATTCTGTACTCGTAAGGAATCTGGGACTGTTTTGGGCTATCTGTTATAATAAGCGATGTCTTGAGTTTATTTGAAGCTGAGCTTCCCTTGCTCTGTAGTATACATGGTTGTAAAAGATTCATCCTAAGTCAGACGCGGTTGTGCATGTAGTGACACGTGTGACAACACTTACCTAGAAGGCGGAATGTTGAAGAGGATGTTCTGTTCCTGTGAGATCACGAACTGACTCACGAACTCACACTGGAACCTCTTCCTGAAGGTCGCCCCCCTCACAGCGCCGTTATTATGCACGACTGGATTGCCGATAGCCTCGTTAGTGAAGGTGAGTTTGTCCTCTGACGGCTATGAAAACCAGGAGAAAAACTTTGAGATGGAAAGAGTTATGAACGGCATTCATTCAAGTGGCTGTCTAGGCATTTACAGGTACACATTGGAGCACATTATTGGACCACCTTGTCATTTTCATAGCAATACCGCTCAACTCATCTATATCTGTTCGTCCAGTGACCGTTCTCTACATTCCAAACGTCTACTTACCTCCTGGGTCGTCCCGCACTCCTGCAAACCGGTCCGAAGAGTCACCTCCGTCTCGGTGTATGTCGCACTGCAAGTGTCGTCTGAAAGGTGCAGAGTGTCCACATCCACCCCTATTAGCGCTTTTCTAGGGAAGGTCACGCTCATGTGGTCCTGATGGCAGTCAACGTTCACGATAACTTCAGCTGAAAAAATCATCCATGCATCTGGGTGAGCATGTCCTTCACAGTGACAGTAAAGTAACAGCCACAGAGCACAGTCAGAAAATTCCTGCTGGAGGGCCTGCCAAGAAAAGCACTATATTCAAATGACCAGTTCTCACATCTAAGTCCGAAACACGTTAAGATGAACCAGCTGCTACATTTCAATTTTCAATAGGATACAGGAAGCTGTAGCTGTATGCCATTCTCCACCCGTGCCATTGCACCGACCTACCTGTGGTCTCTGTCCCACTGATCTCTCCTATTTGCTCATCGTCCTCTCCAAACGCAGTCAGGGTAAAGATGTACTCTGTACCTGCCCACAGTCCGCGTATGGTGGCCTGGGTGTCGCCCGGTGCTGGCGGGGGGGACAGGTCCTGGTACGACGCCCCGGCATGGCGGTAACGGAGTCGGTACCCTCTTACGTCATCAGATGCCCTCCAGGACAGGGTCATTTGGTCCATCTCGATATCGGAGAAGGTCAAGTCAGACACAGCTGTAAAGGCACATGTTCCATGTAAGACATCACGAATTTAGCGCGGCGCGCATCCAGGCGCGCGGGGTTCTTCGCGCTCACTTCCCGATCGTTTTCGCCATGCCTGCCTGGTATCACTGTGTCCAGTGCGCCCAGTGCGTACGAGTGCGTACGAGTGCGTACCAGTACGCCCATTTTGCCGAATGTAAAATATCACAAGAACACGCGTCACCCAAATCACGAAATCGCCAGGACACGTAACCAAAGTTTCGGCGCCTTGTGAGCTCACAACCCGATCGTGTGCCACATTCCTGTCCGGTACATGCATATACATGTGTGCCTACTCCGGCAGTGTGATGATGTTACGTGTAAGACATTACACTGCCGGAGTAGGCACACATGTACCGGACAGGAATGTCGCACACGATCAGGTTGTGAGCTCACAAGGCCCCGAAACTGGCATAGCGTCCGTGTAAGCCATCACGAAACCGCCGGCGAATGCACTTGGATACACGGCGCCAGCGCTGACACAACCCGACACGACAGCGTCCGAGCGTCGATTGCAAGTCTGGCGTGTTTTGCAAATTCGTGATGCGTTGCCGGTCGTGATGCGTCGCACATTGTATCTGCCGCACGCTCGGACGCTGTCGTGTCGGGTTGTGTCAACGCTGGCGCCGTGTACCCAAGTGCATTCGCCGGCGGTTTCGTGATGGCTTACACGGACGCTACGCCCCGAAACTTTGGTTACGTGTCCTGGCGATTTCGTGATTTGGGTGACGGGTGTTCTTGTGATATTTCACATTCTATGCCACTGGTACGCACTGGTACGCACTGGGCGCACTGGTACGCACTGGGCGCAGTGATACCGGGCAGGCATGGCGAATACGATCGGGAAGTGAGCGCAAAGAACCCCGCCCGCCTGGATGCGCACCCCGCTAAATTCGCGATGTCTTACATGGAACATGTGCCGCTGTAAAGGTAGTTAAAAAGTAAATGCCTTTTTAATAGGAAAAGTTTATTACAAATTCGTCCCCGGAGGCTAATTGCAAATTACAAAACATAAAAGAACAATGAAATAGAGTATGAAATAATTAAACTCTACAGGATTAAGGTAGCTGTCTAGAACTATAACTATGTCTAAAACTATGTCTGAAGGGTTTGGCTTTTCTTCTGTAAACCATGGAAGACGTAATCGTCCCATCTTAAGTGGGAAGTTAAAAGAAGAATAGTTTTTGTCTTCGTCTGTAAGTTTAGAGAAATTGGGATAAATTGAAAAAGTTTGAATAGTCAACTCATTTCGAGCGTTGTTATGGAATGAACAGTTTGTATTTCGTCTTCCACAGCCTTTGCACTACAATATTTACACATTCTTTCACATACAGGTTGTCCTGTATACCGGCCTCTCTCTATTTCCAGAGGATGGGCGCTAACTCTAAGTTTACTAATGGCTGAGCGTAGTTCAAAATCTACAATATCAAGATATCGTTCTATGTTGTACATGGTTTTACATTTTGCATAACATCATAACTTACCACTACCAGATGACAAAGTATGAAAAAAAAGTTTAATGAGGGCATTCGATTTGTGCAAGCTAGCAACACATAGCCATCAAAGCGCTGAAGAACAACAAGGCAGCCGGACTGGATGAGATCTCAGCATGTTGGAGATGCTAACCAGACTGATAAACCGCTGTTGGCAGGCGAGGCAGGTCCCCAGGGACTGAAAAGTGAAGTTCCCAAAGAAAGGAGACCTCTTGGACTGCAACAATTGGCGGGGCATTACTCTACTCTCAATTCCTGGGAAAGCATTCTGCGCAGTGTTTCTCAGCAGACTGAAGAAAGCTGTTGACAGGAAGCTAAAAGAGAGGAACAAGCTGGGTTCCGCAGTAACCGGTCCTGTACAGAAATAGCGATTATAGAGAGGCCAAGGGTGCATACCTTGCAGTTGTAGCTGGCAGATAAATCCCCTGAGGAAGCTGCAGTCTTTCTCATCCCAGGTGGATCCGTCCAACCAAAATCCCATACAGCCACCGTTACCGTCGTAGGGTCGTGGTTCACCGCGACCGAGATCCCAGTTGGAAAAGCCGGATGATGTCAGGGTCTGACCGTCCTCAAATACCCACTGTCCGTCATTGTTGACGTCAGTCAGCCCTAGCCAGCGACCCATTACTACTTCTGCTAGATTAGCGAGAAAAGTATTGGTGGCACTGTCCTTCGGCATGGCTAACATCCCCCCGTCTGCTGTACAAGTCTGCCTGGCCGCCTCGCGCGTCTTTAGCTCCGTAAAGCTCTTGTAGCAAACTCCGTCAAAACCAACGTAGCCTGCTATTGGACAACCTGTTGAAAAAAAAAAAGATTAATATCAAAGGGGCAAAGTTCGTGCCCCTAGCATGTCTAGATCATGAGATATCAAAGCCGGAAGTTCCGTTGAACATCTAACTCTAGACATTGTTTAAAGCTATCTAATGACAATGCCCCGGTTACTTGGTGTCACTGTGTTGATGGCGACTTCCATTCTGCGATAGCTCTATGAATGAATAAATTAATTCTTGAACACCTCATAGCTAAATTCTTGGAAGATAAATCTGGTACTTGAAGGCATGGTTATTTCTAGTTATCTTCTGGGCCGGTATTAGGTACTTAGTAGATGGGACATCCACCAGTTTATTGGACTGAAAAGAAATCTACTTGCAGGCCACAACCAATCCAACAAACTCATTTGGCTGCAGCAGTCTTTAGCGAAGCACTGAAATAAAAACGCGTGTTGGTTTCATAACCACATACCTATCGGACAGGCGCCTTGGTTACAAGGCTCGTCGGGCCTTTCTTCATCCAGTCCTGTCGTTCCGTCCTCCCGCGTACATTGCCTCCCTCCGTTAGCTGGTTCCGGATTGGTGCAGGTACGGGTTTGGGTCATCACGCCATCACCGCAGGTCACACTGCAGGCACCATCCACCCAGTCGGACCAGCCTCCATCTAAAAACGTCATTATAATTATAGATACAAGAAAAATCATAATGATGTCTCCAAGCTAAATGAGCATGTTCTTATTACATTTCATCCCCATATCCATTTGTTACGGGCACGGTTCTGCGGTGTAACTTTCAAAATGTAGCCTAAAGACGTATGTTCTAGATAAGCACCTGTATGTTAAGTATGTCGTGTCGTCGTGTTACATATGTATCTGTATCTGTATAGCCGGTATAACCGCCCTTTGGCGTAACACACAAGCTTCGCAGGCACATGGCGCGGCGGCAGCTGGCTACATTACACCGATCGACTTGTTACACCTAACCCCTGAACATCTAACTCTAGACGTTGTTTGAAGCTATGTAATGACAATGCCCGTACTGTACTTGGTGACGGCGAGTTCCATTCTGCGATAGCTCTATGAATGAATGAATTCTTGAACACCTCAATCCTTTGTTAGATAACTCTGGTACTTGAAGACATGGTTATTTCTTGTTATCTTCTGGGCCGGTGTTAGGTACTTAGTAGATGGGACGTCCACCAGTTTATTGGACTGAAAAGAAATCTACTTGCGGGCAACAACCAGTCCAACAAACTTATTTGGCTGCAGCAGTCTTTTGCGAAGCACTGGAATAAAACCTTGTGTTAGTTTCATAACCACATACCTATCGGACAGGCGCCTTGGTTACAAGGCTCGTCGGGCCTTTCTTCATGTAGTCCTGTCGTTCCGTCCTCCCGCGTACATTGCCTCCCTCCGTTAGCTGGTTCCGGATTGGTGCAGGTACGGGTTTGGGTCATCACGCCATCATCACAGGTCACGCTGCAGGCACCATCCACCCAGTCGGACCAGCCTCCATCTAATCGTCACGCCAGTAGAAAATACAGTAAAATTCATGATGATGCCTGAGCTAGAAAAACAGTTTTATCTGATGGCTTGGACTCACTTTTTAAGGCGCAAGTACAAGTTGTATATACGTGTTCCGGACTTTTTTCAACCTGTCTACTTGGAGAAGTGAAAGAGCACTTCTAAAGGACTGTATCTGCTATGGTAACCTAAGTGGACTGCTGATGATGTATTTACAAGTTAGATTTATTGTCGGTGAAAAAAAGGTGGTTTGTGCGCAAAATACGTCCTGGTAAGGTAAGAATCTAATATGGCAATTAAAGTACAATTAACCTAATACTTCGGAATTAAAATAATTTTGACTGATGATTGATCAGTGAAATTTCTGTCGTTTTTGCCGTATCGTCTACACCACATGAGGCGCACATAATCCAGTATTTGTACCCCAAGATGCGGATAAAAAGGAAACGGAATTTACCAACAGTTTCACAGGTGGGCCCTCCCCATCCCTCCGCACACGCACAGGTGTAAGACTCTCCAGTATTGGTACACACTGCGCCATTCTGGCAAGGGTTGGGATCGCAGGGGTCCACTGTTTGGGGAAAACGTTTTAATCGGACATTGTCATTCCGTGCTGCAGGTTCGATCCGGATCAAAGCCGGATCAAATCGAATCTATTTGGCTTAATACGGACAGTTATGTCCTAGTGCAAAAGTGCCAATGTAACAAATACTAACCTCGGTCACAGTTGCGTCCTGTCCAGCCGCTCTCACAGGTACAGATGTAGCCTTCGTTACCACTAGTACAGGTTCCGTGTGCACATGGAGAGTCCTCACACGTAGTACGAACTGGAAATAATTATATAAGGAGATACAGTTACTACGGTTTGTACATCAAAGTGATTAACCCTCGGGGAATACGAACCTATATGCATTGCCTTTGAGCTCGAGATGAAGTAAAATATCAGGGACTGCAAATGTGGAAAGCGGTGTGCAGCACGTGGGCCGTTCATTTCTTAACCCTTCCTATGATGGACTTTTGAAACGCCATATTTATTGGCTGTTAGCAGACAGTGAAGAATGAAGAATGATATCTAGGCGAGATTATTTATGCTTATGTTAATGAACAATATAGTCTGATCTAATCTAATCTAAAAGTGTGACTGTCTTGTTTTAAGTACCAAAATGCCTCTGTTGTGTATAACGATATGAAGGCTGCAGCCTAACCTGCGCACAAGGCGTACATGTTGTTGTAGTTCGCCCCCTGCAGGTTGCTGGCGCGAGTGTCGTAGTCCACTCCCCAGGCGCCGTCACCCACCCAGCGAGAGTGGTACACAAAGGTGTCATCAAGGGGCTGGCACTGCTGGGCGAACCAGTTTCCACACAGTTTACTGGAGAGGACCGTGTGGGTAAAACAGCTAATACCGGCACTGCCATACGCGATGCAGTCTGAGGTCCAGTAGGCGGTACACGCAGAAGAACCTGACTGGTAGCACGGATATCCCATCCCCGTCGCCAGGCAAGTCAAACTCACGTTCGGATTTGTCATGGATCCTTCCGCACGAACCTTATAAAAGGCCCAATTGTCCTGAGTGGCCAGGTACACCGGTTGTTCTGAAAGAGAGTGAAAAAGTCTTGTTATCGCCGGTTAATGTTTTTAGCCATCGATGCCAGAAAGATCGAACGGATCTTGTGGAATTTCAAACCGACAAACGTGGTCAGGTACTGACTTTGAGCTTGAAATGCAAGATTTGAAAACATTTCAATATATCTGATAGGGATTAAAGTAGAAATTAACACTTTCTAATTTCTAGCATTGAATTAATCAATGGTTTATTGTGGCGACTCAAAACAATCATACAGTGGCAGCTTTTTAGCTGAATTATAGCTGACTTGTTTTGTACGCAGAGCTGCATTCACAGAGGTCTATCCAAAATTCAACCGTAACGCCAACCAACGAATTGGACTTCGTGCAGTAATATTTGATTAAAAAATAACTTACCAGTTTCACAGGTGGTTCCTTCCCATCCCTCCTCACACTCACAGGTGTAGGAGTCTCCAGTACTGTTGCACACTCCGCCATTCTGGCAAGGGTTGGGGTCGCAGTGGTCTAGTAACATAGGCAAGGAATAGTGTGGGCATTTTAATCGGACATTTGCGGTCATTCCGCGCGTGCTAGAAAGAAGGGCGATGAAAAGAAAAGAACTAACAGGTGAGTCCTCCCCATCCTATATTTTGCCTCCTATGGGCTCCTATTCACAGTATCTTAGCCTACCACTTTAGTAACTTGAAATATCTTCTCCTGAATCTGAGCTGAACAGGAGTTTTTGTGTCAATGGCCGAATAGATCAGGTTCGATCCGGATCGAAGCCGGATAGGATCAAATCTATTCGACTCAATCCGGACAATTCTATCCTAGTGGGAAAAAGGCCAACGCAACAAATACTGACCTCGGTCACAGTTGCGTCCTGTCCAGCGGCTTTCACAGGTACAGATGTAGGCTTCGTCACCATCATTACAGGTTCCATGTTCACAAGGGGAGTCCGCACACGTACGAACGTCTGGAAAAGTGGGGGGAAAAGCTAGAATTTTGTACATCAAAATGTGTGTTTCGCTCAACACTCTAAGAAAACAAATTTATATGCATTGGCATCCAGGTGCGGAAAACGTTTCAATCTGTTATTTTTGGCCGTCCAGTACGTATACTAGGTTAAAGGCAATGAAAGAAAAAAGAACTTTCCAATTTCACAGGTGAGTCGTCTTCATACCACATTTCGTCTCACGTCCATATACACATGTATATATGGGTTCATATTTACAGTCTCTAACCCTATCACTTTAGTAACTTGAAATGAAATATCTTCTCTAAATGTGAGCTGAACAGGAGTTTTTGTGTCAATGGCGGAATAGATCAGGTTCGATCCGGATCAAAGCCGGATCAAATTGAATCTATTTGGCTTAATACGGACAGTTATGTCCTAGTGCAAAAGGGCCAATGTAACAAATACTTACCTCGGTCACAGTTGCGTCCTGTCCAGCCGCTCTCACAGGTACAGATGTAGCCTTCGTCACCACCAGTACAGGTTCCGTGTGCACATGGAGAGTCCTCACACGTAGTACGAACTGGAAATAAGGATATAAAGTTACTAGGGTTTGTACATCAAAGTGATTAACCCTCGGGGAATACGAACCTACATGCATTGCCTTTGAGCTCGAGATGAAGTAAAATATCAGGGACTGCAAATGTGGGAAATGTGCAGCACTTGATCCGTTCATTTCCTTACTCTTCCTATAGACTTTTGAAACGCCATACTCATTGGCTGCTAGCAGACAGTAAAGAATGATATCTAGGCGAGATTATTTTTTGCCCATTTTAATGAACAAAATAGTCTGATCTAATTTAATCTAATCTAAAGTGTGACTGTCTTGTTTTAATTACCAAAATGCCTCTGTTGTGTGTAACGATATGAAGGCTGCAGCCTAACCTGCGCACAAGGCGTACATGTTGTTGTAGTTCGCTCCCTGCAGGTTGCTGGCGCGAGTGTCGTAGTCCACTCCCCAGGCGCCGCTGTCACTCCCGAACAAGCGAGGGTAGTACACAAAGGTGTCATCAAGGGGCTGGCACAACTGGGCAACCCAGTTTCCACACAGTTTACTGGAGAGGGTATAGTGGGTGTTACAGGGTTGACTACCGTTACCGACATAAGTGATGCAGCCGGACGTCCACAGGAAGGTACACCCAGCAGCACCTGAGAAGTAGCACGGATACGCCATCCCCGACGCCAGGCAAGTCAAATTCACGTTCGGATTTGTCATGGATCCTTCTGCACGAACCTTATAAAAGGCCCAGTTGTCCTGAGTGGCCAGGTACACCGGTTGTTCTGAAAAAGAGTGAAAAAGTCTTGTTATCGCCCGTTAACGTTTTCAGTCATCGATGTCAGACAGATCGAACGGATCTTTGTGGAATTTCAAATCGACAAACGTGGTCAGGTACTCACTTTCAGCTTGAAATGCAAGATTTGAAAACATTTCAATATATCTGATAGGGATTAAAGTAGAAATTAACACTTTCTAATTTCTAACATTGAATTAATCAATGGTTTAGTGTGGCGACTCTAAACAACCATACAGTGGCAGCTTTTTAGCTGAATTATAGTATG